TTTTTTAAGAGGGCATACTCTGTGTAATAGGATTTTACCATCTCACCGATAACAGCTTTGACATCCAGTATGATGATATATCTCCTAGGTTGGAAGGCAAAGAAGTGCTTAGCCTAGGAACTAAAAATCCATACTCTGTGGCAGATTTGTGGCTTAGATGCTTCTGTTCAATATTAAGCAGAATGGATTGAAAAAAGGGTTGTTCTTCTTGAATATGACTTTCCCTCTTTTTGTAATTCTTGGCATGGTGTCAACAGCCTTGCTCTCGCTGGTCCCAAGCCAGCCCCGTGGGCTTGCAGTCTCTAAGGTGCTGACAGAAATTTTTTTGGCTGTACCAAAGATTTTATGTCAGACGTCAAGATACACAGCTTGATAAACATGTCTGCCTCTGGCGATTGGCAGCATTCTTCTGGAAAAGAAAACAAGAAATGTTCTGTGTAAACAAGAAAAGTGGTATGAATAGCATAGAATAACATGACTTTGAGGTGTGTCTGGATCACTGGCTTTTTATTTTGTTAAATTACTTCTGTACTGAGGCCGCTGACTTGAAGAACATACACACTCTCACAACAACATTCCCTGCATCTCTTCCCAGGCTTAACTGCTTTCTTTTGGAAGGAGCGAACAATCAAAATAAAAGCACAGTGATTCTTGTTGGGATCTCGAAATGTCTCAGAATAGTCAACAACTAGGGAGCTATTGCATACTAGCTCTTTTTTGGCATATGTGTTAATTTTGTCCAGTTAGGCGAGGATGAATTAAGGAAAGTAAAAAGGGGCACATCTATACTGATTAAAAAGACAGAAAGACCCAGATTTTGTTCTTTCCAATTTTATTTTGGAGATCCACATATTTTGTTAACCACAGAATATTTTCTGTCAACTCCTGGTATGATCAGCAACTTTTTATGTCAGCTCTCCAGGTCAGTTTATTTTAAGCCAGTATAAAATCAGAAAGAACAGGAACAAAAATTGGGGCTTTTCAAGCAGTCTGGATGTGGCCCATCTGTTTATTTGTCCAGTTGTGGTTGGTGCCTTCCATCACTGTGAGGCATTGAATATGCTCTGGGCTGTAGTCTGAACACCTTGGATAACTCCTTTAAAGTTTAGATTTTAAACACAAAATGGATTTATTGCTCCACTATTATGGAAGCCACAGCTGCTTTTGTCTCCCTTTTTGTCGATGCATTTCTTCTTTTGGGGTGATATGTAAGTGTAGGCCAGTTCTTTCAAAGGAATGCTTGGCAGAGATTCCTCCCATATTTACACCATGCTGCCTTTGTACCTGTTAGGGCCTCTTTCCTATTTTGTGTATAGTCTTACTAGCAATGGATGACCTGCTAAAGTAAAGTTACTAATATGGGTATTTGAGTCATTGCATATTAGGATGGGAAGAGTATTTCCCCTTCTCCCCTGTAATAAAATCAGTTAGATCATTGTACCATGTAAAGGGGACCATTAGTTTTTTTAGAAACAAACAAACAACATGTTAGATCCCTCAAAGTGCTATGTTTTGAAGACAGCTGACAGGACCATTGGGTGTTGTATCACCTATTTATGAAAGGAACCAGGAGCAAAGCCAAACAATGGCTCCAGCTGCGAATGGTGGGAAGGCTGTGTTTCTTGGTTCTCTAAATGGGGCCTCTGTGTTGGTTTGCGACTTCCTTTTCCTCAGCTGATTGCAGATCATAACGATCCACAGCCACTTGGACAGGAATAATTAATGGACTAAGTGTAGGTTACTGGCTTCTGAGCAGCCAAGGGCAAGAATGCCTGTCCATTTCAGCCTCAGCCTAACCCACTGAGGCACTCAGCTTCCTGAGTCAATAGTGATCCCGTAATTCTAACAAAAGACTCCCATTGATCATTGCCCTTTGGTAATTACTGCCAGCGTGAGGCTGTCCCTCACAGTTTGTTGACATTCTTTTGACAATTTAAATATAGGCATTAAAAAAATATACCCCAAACAATCTCTCAAAGGAGTGGACTTATAGATCTCTAATAATAAAAATTGCCTGCGAGTGTAGAGACAAATAGGATTTTTTTTTTGCATCAACAGACCCAAGGCGTGCCATGTTATTATGACAGTTTATAATCATAAACTCTACCGGCTCCTGGTCAACTGCAAAGCAATTTTTTCTGAACGATTGACTTCAGTGGTGATTTCACCAAATCCTGAAAAATGAGGATAGTGTACAATGGAAAGAAGTATGTCATATTTATATGTGGCTAATTGTGTTAAAAATAGAACTGGCCTCTTTGGGAGGCTGTTGTGCAGCTTTTAAGCTATCGCACAGCTAAAACCAACCAACCTCTTCTTGCTCTGAGCTCTGTTTGGCATTGTTTCTGTTGGGCAGTCCTCGTGTCAGCACCCATCACTGTCAAGAAGGGTTGGGTCCAAATATACTTGCAGGGCCAACTGATGCTATCACTTATCCTGATCTCAACAGGTTTGAAAACTGACAACTCTGAGCTACTGTTTAAAATTGCCCATAAACCCTTTGGACAATGTTATATGGGAGGCATTGTAGAAAATAGCAGGTTGTGGCTTCTGAATCTTCAGCATAGGGCCCAGCTTTCAGAAACCTGGGTTGGCTGCCTGTTGAGATTGTGTGAAAACTTTATATTGAATCTACACTTGGTAGCTATCCTAGGCTTATTTTGTTCTGTGTAGTGGCTGAAATGGACCAGACTGGTTGATTATACTGAGATTCTTGGTGTATGAAGTTTGGCATGATTTCCAAGGATTCATACACTGGCCTGCATAAACCAATACCATCAGCCTCAGGGCTGGAAGGGAGTGTGCTATCTTATTCATCACCTGAGGCAGTAAAACATATTGGGTTGAAATTGCCCTCCTCTGGATGTTAACTAGACCTTGATGAACTTGGCAATGAGAAATACTTCTTAAGTATTATCCAGACTTTACTTGAGTACAAAATTATTAAATATCTGAGCTCTTTCTTGTGCTTGAATGCTCTCAATTGCTCTCTCACTTTTGTCTTTGCTGTGTTGCATACCCTCCAACTGTCTTGATTTGTCAGAAACAGGGCTGATTAATCCTTCATCATCCCACATTTTCAGATGCTTTTAAAATCTCCCATTTTCTCTTGTGTTCCTCCCACTCCCCCCTTGGATCTCTGCTTACTTCAATTGCTGCAAACTGAGTTCAAGGTACAAAAGTAGTTTGCACTTAACTTAGAAGTTTATTGCATTGCTAACAGTCCTGACTTACCCCTGCAGTGTTGAAGTCTCTTTTGGGAATAAAGTTGGGTATTATCATATGCAAAATGCTGCCGATGCCACCGGCCGAGTACAACCCAGCTAACTTTCAGGTAGAAGCTGCACTCAGCCAGCCTCTTTTTAAAGCTCCTTGTATTGGAAGAAAGGCAGGATATAGGAAAATAATAATAACAACAACAGCAGCAGCAGCAACAACCCCTATTCATAGTGAGGCTTATCCTGTTGAGCCCACTTTAGGATGTTTGGGCAATTGCCCAAGGGTGCTTTGTGCTGACACTGAGTCTGCTAGTATCTTAGAATTCTGCTTCTAAATTCTCATGATCTTCTCTGTTCAGTTAATTGGTTATGTGATAGCCCTGCACTTCTGTATTCACCCAGTTAGCTCCTAGTTAGGAACACAGAAAGCTATCTTATAGTGAGGACATTATCGCATGGCTTTTTAAGTCAGTTTACCTCTATCCGGTTTAATCTTAATTTGGGTGGCATCCTGATTTTATCAGATGTTTTTTGCCACCCAAAACCAGCCCGGGTCCATCCTTGCTTCCAGAGCCACTCCTTGTGGCCACTTTCTCAAGC